TGGAGTCCAGGAAAATAAAATCTGTCACTACCTCCATTTCTTCCCCATCTTTTTGCCTGGAAGTGAGAGGACCGGATGCCATGATCTTAGTTTTCTTAATGTTGAGTTTCAAGCCAACTTTTGCACTCTCCTCCTTCACCTGCATCAAGAAGCTCTTTAGTTCCTCTTCACTTTCTGCCATGAGAGTGGTATCATCTGCATATCTGAGGTTGTTGATTTCTCCCACCAATCTTTATTCCAACTGGTGATGCATCTAGGCCTGCCTTTCTCATGATGTGCTTTGCATATAAGTTAAAAAGGCAGGGCGACAGTATACAGCCTTGCCGAATTTCTTTCTTAATATTGAACCAATCAGTGGTTCCGTGTCCAGTTCTCACTGTTGCTTTTTGACCCGCATATAGGCTTCTCAAGAGACAAATAATATGCACCCATTTTTCACAGAAGAATGTTTATTTGCACACCTACTTTTTCAAAATGTCATGATTAATATTGGTGGGGCCTCTTTTAATGTTGATCAATTGTATTTAAGGTAGAGAGTGAAGAATGAAAATGGCTTAATGGGAGCAGGATCCTGCTCATAGGCAGTGAGTTGGATCCAGAAAAAGTCTCTGAGGCATCACCCTGCCAACAAAAATTTGTATAGGCATCGTTTTCCCAGTTGCAATGTATGGCTGTGAAAGTTGGACCATAAGGAAGGCTGAGCACCAAAGAATTGAGAACTTTGAATTGTGGTGCTGGAGGAGACTCCTGCGAGTCCCTTGGATTGCAAGGTGATCAAACCAGTCAGTCCCAGAGGAGATCAACCCTGACTGCTCTTTAGAAGGCCAGATACTGAAGATGAAGCTCAAATACTTTGGCCACCTAATGAGAAGGAAGGACTCACTGGAGAAGATCCTGATGCTGCTAACTATTGACGGCAAAAGAAGGGGGACGACAGAGAATGAGGTGGCTAGATGGAGGCACTGGGCAGTAGGTGTGGGCTTGGGTGGACTCTGAGGGATGGTGGAGGACAGCAGCAGAGCCTGAAAGAATGTTGTCCATGGGGTTGTGATGGGGGAGAACAACTTTGCAACTAAACCACAACATACAGAATCGCTTCTGTCCATAAGTGGGGCTTTTGATCCAGAAGAGCTTTTCCACAGGCAGAATGAGGGCAGCAATCTTCATCCAGCCTTCCTGCTTCTCCCTATAGTTATGTTTCCCAAACATCTGTTCTGGAGGGCTGGGATATCCTCTGGAATAGCAGATGCATTCTTAAGGAACGGCAAGATAGGGAACTACCCATTAAAATGGGCTCCCTGTCCTTTGCATGGGAGTGTCCTACACTGGTGGAACCAGCCAGTTCGATTCCTTCTTAGTTTGGTTTTCTAATAAAGCTGAGCTCTATTGAGCAATTAATCTGTACATCGGTATAAGGTCCAGGTGAACACTGAATAGGCCCTGACATGCAGGGAGTATGCTTAGCGTACTCCAGGTGCTCAGTGTCTGAACAGATTACAGCCTGAGCAGCGAAAACCCAAATCCTCAGCATCCCACCTGAGCTCTCTGAGTGCAGGCATTATTCTCGCCATGCACATCACAGCTTTTTTGGAGACTGTCCACGTGGACACTCTCTCAAGTGGAGAGGGACTCTCTCAAGTGGCCTGCACATCTGTGCTAGCCGTGGCAGCTTCTAATCGCAGGTGGCACACGCCAACAGCATGCCTCACCATCTCGGAGAGTGCATCTGTATCAAGAAAACCAAGTGTGTGCTTTATTCTTCAAACTGAATGTTCAAACACATCGGCGGATTTTTAAAATGTTTATTAGGGTTTGGTTATGGGGTGGTAAAGAAATAAATAATACATATTCCTGGCAAGGGTAAATGTGGTAGAACTAATCTGTTCTACCACAAATGTAGAACTGCCTGCATTTCTTGGAACCTCCTTGGGACAGGGCTACACGTGCTGTCAGGATGAGCACCCACACTTCAAAATGTATAGCTATCCTGGAGGGTATAAGGGAAGTTCTAGGCTTCCCCATAGCAGGGAAGTGAACAGCTTGTGACTTTTGAGATGTTTTGGCTTACAGTGCCCATCAGCTGTAGCCAGCATAGCCATTGATGAAGAGACTGTGGGAATTGTAAGTCAAAATATCTAGAGTCAGACCCTACCTACTATTGCCATATGATATATTCAGGGGACTACATCCTTTACCACTAGAACTCATTGCTGCCAGAAGTGGTCAACTTCCCTGGAAGTATTTATTTATTTGATTTCTATCCCGCCCTTTCCTTTTTTTAAAGAACTCAAAGTGGCTTACATGTGTTCTTCCTCCTGCAGCAAGAACCCTGTGAGGTAGGTTTGGCTCAGAGTCTGCAACTGGCCCAAAGTCACCCAGTCGGCTCCATGGCTGAGCGGGGACTAGAACCAGATCGCCCGAGTCCCAGACCTGCACTCTTAACCACTACACCATCCATGGGCAGGGAGCCACTGTCAGGAATGCTGCAGTTCTAGGCATCCCTGTGATCCTTTGGGACTGACTCCCCTGAGCCTCAGCTAGCACAGCCAGTAATGAGGGATGATGGAAATTGCCGTTCAGCATCTGGAGGACCACAGCACTTCTCATCCCTGCTTGTAGTTGCATCTGGCACTGTGCAGGCATGGGCCTGGTCCCTTTCCACCTCCATTCTTCTTCACCTTGTGCTGTCCAGATGTTTTTGACGACAGTTCCCAGCATTCCTGACTATTGGCCATGCTGGCTGGGACTGAAGTCCCAAATTAGCTGAACAACCAGGTTGCAGAAGGTCTCTCTATGACCAACTCACTTCACTTCAGGGTTGAGTCCTACCAGCCATTCAAACGGAACTAAAGGTGCCGTTCTCTGCACTTTAGACCGCAAAAAGTCCTACAACCCCCAGCATTCCCTGGGGAATGCTCAAACTTGCAGGTCTTTTCCCGTCTCAACGGGAAGAGTTGAGAATCGCGCTCTTGGAAAATACTGAAGCGGATTCTTGGGTCACGCTCCGGCGGAGTCCATACTTGGGCAAAAGAAGGGGCGAGGAGCGCCAGATTGCACAGCCCAAAGGCCGCCCGCCTCGTGCTCCCCCCACCTTCCCTCGCCCCTCCGTGTAACCTGACCTGAGCAACAAGTACGCCAGCAGCAGCCGCGGCAGCTGTCGGCGGGCGGAGCTCTGATTCCCCGGCGCTGCCTCCGGGCTCTGCTCCCCGAGGCCGCTCGCCTTTCCCCCGAGAGGGAGGTGTGTATGGGGGGGTGGGGGAGGCGCCGGCATGGCCTCGGGCTGGCGTTGGACAAGCGCTTGGCTGCTCTTGCTGCTCGCTCTTAGCCGAGAATTGCTCGCAGGTAGGGCTTCCATTGCGTGCGTGCGTGCGTGCGTTTGTGTATGGCGGGGGGCAGCACTCTTTCTCCCTTCCCCGTCCCTGGCAAAAAAAGCTGCTGATCGAGCTGCTGCAGCGTCTGAAGCCTGAGCTGCTCCGACGGATTTACAGGGAACGTGGCCGCTCCCCGTTCGGCTCCCCATCTGCTGCCTCGCGCGCGCGCGCGCGCTCTCTCATTTTCTCTCTCCCGCGCACCTCCGTCCCGTCGCGTCCGCTCCTTCGGTCCCACGTAGGAGGGGCCGAGTCCTCCTCGCAACTTGCGAGAAGGCGGTGCAAGGGCCATACGGCGTCGCTTTCATGTGGCGGCGGCTGCCTTGGATCGTGCCAGCTGCATCCTGGCATCAGACACTTGTCTCGGGAAAAAGGCCAAATAGTTGCTTGTGTGCATTCGTTGTGGGGCGCGCTGCAGGCCAGGTGTAATGGGCGGGATCGGGGCAACCGCCACGGCTGCCAGGTGGAGGCTCGCTTGGGGTCCTAGTGTCGCGAAGGGAAAGCTGTTAGACACTGACCGCCGATAAGCCTGAGGGCGCAGTCCTGTGGCTGCTTAGATATTAAAAGCGCCCTGACAGCAGGGGGATGGTGGGAGTTGTAGGATTTTGTTCTTTCTAAGCAAGTATAGGATTGGTCTCTAACAGTTCTGTGGTGCCAGCGGTTCTCAAAGCCTTTTCTGAAATGGAATGAAAAGAGCTTGGGATAAGCAACCCAGGTACAGGGGAAGCTGCCATAGGTCAGTCTAGCCCAGTATTACCAACACTGACTGGCAGCAACTCTCCAGGGTTGTAGGCAGGAATATTTTCATCCATACCTAGAGACTGAATCTGTGGTATTCTGTATGCAAAGCATCTGCACTACCACCAAGCTACAGATTTCTGTAAAAGTTCCTTACCTGGTAACCTGCACATAATTCCTATTGGTGGCTAAGCTTGCCCCATTTTAGATGTGATTTTTAGGTACATCAGCTATTTGTGTAGCAGTTCTCCATTCCGGGGGAAGCATGTGCAAGGTCAGGTTTCCACATAACATTCTAAATTAAATCCCATAAGTCCATACAGCATTATGGAGGGGCCCTCATAAGACAGGCAATCATTGCCACTTTGAAGTTGAAGTGTAGAATGTAAATACATGCTGCATATATAATCAGAAGGCATTAAAAGGCTTTGGAAGGAAACCGAATCTATTAAAATCAGTCATCTTTTTCACTTGACAATAATGAGATTTTGAGTGCACTACTTGGATTCAACTCAGAGGTGCATAACTGTAGCAACTGAAGTTACTTGCAACATTTTCTATTAACTTTCTCTCACATCTTTCAGAGGAAACTCCAAATCTGCCTATTAAAAAACTTAAGAGCACTGGCTACCAGGTGTGAGAACTGTTGATGGGAAATTGATAGTTTGGCCATTTCCTGGGTTGTGCACAGTTTGTTTGTTTGCCATTCTGAAGAGCTATAACACCTCTTCTAACAGTTATTAGCAGTAAAAACCTTAAATTCAAATATGCTGGGATTTTTGGTGTTTTACCCTCCTTCCTTTTCCTGATCCCTGCCCACAATGGGCATTCCAGGATGAGGGAGTGGAGAGAAGATGTGGCTGCAGTGGAGACACTTGGGGAACTGCTGCTTGCAGATGTGCTTCAGTTTGGCTGATAATAGAAACAAATGACTTCAGTTGTTATGGTCATGTACCTCTGAATTGAATCCAAGAGGTATAATTTACTTGTTAAATAAATAAAATGGCATAAAATAAATAAAAATAAAATGACAATAATGGGATTTCAGTTATTTGTCAAGTGAAAAAAATGATTGATTTTTAATAGTTTTGCTTTTTTTCCCAGAGCCCTTTAATGACTCCTGATTAAATATACATAAGCATGAAGACCAGTTTACATTCTACACTTCAACGTTAAAGTGGCAATGATCTTCCATACTCCACAGGCAAATAGTATTGAGGCCCATTCATAATGCTGAATGGCCTAACGTGATTTAATTCAGACTGCTACTTAGAAATCTGATCTTGCTCATGCTTTCCCCAGAGTGGAGAACTGCAGTGGAAATAGTTCAGTCTAAATCCTGTTCAGACAAAGTACTTGCTTTCAAAATGGCATCAGCTGTTGAAGATAATGCTGGAAACATTTTGCAGGATTCAAGTTAGTTCACACTATGCCTTTTATAAAATCTACTGCACCGTGATGATGGCACGCTTCCAAGGTTTACAGGGCTTTCTGTCAGACAGGGTTGTGTGGAACTCAGATGCTTGCTAACATAGCTAATCTGATGAAAGGGCATGAACTCAAAAAGCAGATGCTGTGTGCTACACAGCGCTCATACTAACTTCTTAGCTTGTGTTCTGGGACTGTTACCACCCAGCCTAGAGGGCCAGACAGATTCTGGGTGAAGATACTGGAGAATACATACTGAAGATGTGTAGGGCCATCAGTGGGCTAGGCAATTCCCATTGCTGGGCTGCTTCCCCAGAGACCCCTGTGTAGACATCTAATCACATCACACCATTCAGCCACGTGACCAAAATGACCTCATGACTCAATTACAGGATGCACGTAGCCAAAGGGTATTAAAAATATTTCACATCCAAAACAAGTTGAGATAGAAAAGTGTCTCAGGAGACAAAATCACTTCAAGTGAGTGGCAAATATGAGTCTTCAAAGCCAAAATAGGCAAATACCTAGAAAGGGGTGGGTTAAACCTGGAAAATCGTGCAGAGAAAGTTATTCACCCACCCTTGAGTACAGGGATCTCAATCTGAACTGCATCCGCAGCAGGTATTTTGAATTTTTGTAACTCACCAGATTGCTGTTGACAGTTTTCTTGTGTCATACCTACTTTGGCCCACAATTGGGATAGTGAGGACCACTGCAAGCCTGATGTTTTGAAGAGCTATGCAAAGTATGCACTATGTACCCGTTTAACTGTATGTGTACAGAGCATAAGAAACAGCGTGACACAGAGGTTAATTTTGCAGCAGGAGAATTGTGACTCAGCCATGTAGTTCGTGGTCAAACTACACGTTATGTTAATTGCATAGTGGAAACATTTTGATTTTTAAAAAATGGCATTAAGAGGCAGATCAAAAGGGTTCTCAGGGTAGTTGCCTCTATTCTGTCATATGATAAGGTGCTAGGCAGATAAGCAGCTTCTCTAGAACCATTAATTACTGTTATAGTGTGTGGAAATTGCTGAATGATTTTCTCCTACAGTGTACTGATGATTATCCTGGTTGTTATGCTGCAAAGAAAATCTTCTCAGAGCAACAAAGAACAGCTGCATCCTTTAGCATTTTTAATGAACTGTTTGTGTTCAGTCATTCATAGAAACCCATGGTCCATCCCTGTGCGCAGATTTGATAGCATTTTTGAATCTTGAATAGCGCATCATGTAGTTGCTCTCTTTGTTTTGTTCAATCAATGGCAGTCTTGTGTGATTTATACTGATTGTCCTTTCAAAGATGTTATACTTTCCCCTCCCTCTGATCCTCAAGTCCGATCATCATTTTTTTTCCTGTTGAGTAACAGGAGGATAGAAGTAGCATTAGACACTCTGTTTTCTGAGAGACTGGTGACCACAGCAGCATGCAAATATGTAGCACAGAGATGTGGGTCAGATTTTCTTCAAATTTTGGCAATGTATTTGCATAGTGCATATCCATTGTGCTCAACACAGTTCAGATGCGGCCATAGCGATAATACATTACAATACAAGCTGCAATGCAACAGCTATGCAATTGCAGCTGATTTAAAAGTTGTCAACAGTTTCAATAACCAAAGGACATACCAACAGGTCAGTTAACAACATCCTCTGCCTATAATAATATACTCACAGTAAACAATTCACTAACAACTGATGTTAAAGGATTTAAAGATAAGGTACTCTCTTGTCATGAAACTCACAGCAAAAGGGAAAAGAAAAACAAGGCACTTCAAGTGTCAGAAAGACCCCTCTCTCACTGGGATCCTACATCCTAGGCCAAGCAAGGTCACCCTCATGCCCAGGGCAGCTTTCCTTCTGGCAGTGTCTTGGCAGGAGAGCCAGAATGAGGAATGTCTCCCTGGGGCACGTGTCTTTAGGGTCACTTAAACACCTTTGCATACACCAAAAATAGCAGCAACTGCCATAGGGCTCCTAAAGTTAGAGAAGCAGGTGGAAACAGCCATGCTTCAGTGGCAAACGTGGCATTTCTCTCACCTCACCATTTCTTCTGGAAGCACAGTGATCAAAATGCAGTGCACAGAGATGGGAGATTTGCAAACAGACTTTCCAGTGGTAGAATGAAGAGCTGGAGGAACCCTATTAGCACCATGCATGTATGGATTTCACTAAGGTCTCTCTAGCCTTCTGTACCTACCATTGTCAAGAATTCTTGCAGTCTGCTAGCGGATCAGAATTAGGGACACTCTGACCTTCCAGATGCTTTTTGACTCTGATTCCCATCAGCGCCGGCCAGTTTGAACAACACAACACATTACAGCTAGTGACATTTCGATATTGTCCTAAAACACATGAAACAATGTAAGGGCACATCAGCTTGTGCATGAATCAAGCACTACAGAGAAAGCAGGCAGCTTTAGCAGCAGGAGCCCTTGGCACAATTTTATTGTATATGTGAGAGAATCATGTGACTTGATTCCTAGCATATTTTAGTCCCCACCGCAGGAGTTTCCAGAATTCTTAAAATCCTATCTTGATTATTATAGTAGCTATTTGACCAAGGATCTCTTCATTTTTACAAGTAAATCATTGCTATGCACACATCTTTAAACCCTGCTTTGAATAATTATCATTGATTCTACTTTTCACTGAAGATAAAATTTTTATTCCTCCACATAGGCTCACTGAACTGGAAGAATAATCTCCACATTTGGTTAGTGCTGCCCAGTGCTTTTTTTGTAGGAAAAAAAATGGTGCCGGAACTCACGTCGCAGCCTGCAGTAAGCACACACACCAATTCCAAGCCGAGCTATCTCTCACTACCAGATAGCAGATCTCAGACACAATAGCAGCCACTATGTTAATGATGTTTGCTGCTGATCTGCTAGCCAAAATCACTTCATAAAATCCATTGAAAAAAGGTGCGGGAACGCCATTCTGCTGCTTTCTATGACAAAAAAAGCCCTGGTGCTGCCAATTCAATAAGTTTTGCAAAACTTTTTAGTGATTAGTGATACTGTTTTGCATCATTGCATGTAATGAGTAGTACTTTTACAAAGTAATAATATTTTATATTTTAAATCTCATAGTGAACCTTTTCAGAGTCATAAAACTAGTAGACTGGGAGGAAAAAACATTTCTTACTTCTGTTTGCCCTTAATTGTGGATGTGCCTTCTACCTGAAATGTTGGAAAACCATCTTATGTCAACACCCCATGATTTCCTTTGTTCTCTGCTCTTTAGCCTCATTTTATGGAGACAGCTACGTGCAGTTAAACATTGCTGAATCATCTTCTACAATATCACTGAAATTACATTTTCAAACAAGTAAACCAGATGGATTGCTTTTTCTTGCTGCGGGAAAAGAAGCTTACTTTTTGGTGGAATTACATTCTGGAAATATAAACGTAGGTTTTATAATCATACAAAGCTGCATCACAATGATTTAGACCCTTTATATATTTAACTCAATACTGCATTCTAAAGAATGTTTTGTTGTTTTTCTTTTAGTAGAAACAAGGTAATTTAAGTTTTACCAGTTCCAGTTCACTTAGTTGTTATCTCAAGGATAAAACAGCAGCACATTTTAATGCCATTAATAAATACATCACTAATAAAGACAGCATAGTTCAAGGTGTAGTTACTGTATTTTAGAGTAAGTCTTGGATGAGGAATATGTGGCCCAGCCATTATTTCTGTTCTACAACTCCTATCAGCTCCAAACCCTTGGACAAATTCATCACAAGGTCCAGATCCATTAGCACTCAAAATGCTTACTGATAGATGGAAGCCCACCATTGTACTTTGTAAAGTACTCAAGGTGGTTTATTTCTTTTTTCATAGTGGTCTGGTTCAAACACAGGGCTCAACCATGGTTTACAAGAACATGGCATGGCAAGGTTCTGGCTCACCCACTCCTCCTCCCTTGCCTCCTCCACACACAAAGGGAAGAAGTTGAAACTTTATTTTGAATAACCCATTAATTTTTGTCCTCAGCAAGTAGCTCATTGGGAATTGCTAACATAGCAAAGGTCTACGAAAAAACTGAGGTCTTATATACAGCTAAGACTCTTCCTGTTTTAGTAGCTGTAGTTGTTTCTGATACCTCATTCTCTATGCATGCACTTTTTCCCTCCTCATGAATAGACCCTTGTTCCTGAATAGAGTTCAGGCAAACAGGTTATCTGACTATCAGGCAAATAATCCATGTCTTCAACCTGGTCTGCTGGTGGTGGTGCTCCTGAGGGCTATGCTACAAGGGAGGAAGGTCAGCAACCATGGTGTGGTTTAATATAACCTGCCATGGTTCTGAAAAATGGCTTGATCCTAGATGATTTGATATAACTACAGTTAGAACGAGCCAATGTCTTGAAAATGGATAAAATGGGAAATTACAATTATTTCACAACCAAGAGCAGGAAGTTTCACTCTCCCTTTGCATGCAAGGCAGGAGAGCGCAAGGATCAAAATTTCTTGTTTTTATTATGCTAAACCATGTCTGCCTGTTTTCTCAGGATCAAAACTAGGCATATATGTCCCAGTCTCTGTACAGTCTGTATTTTAGATACTTTCCCATTCCTAAGCATCTTGATAAGAGAAAAATGTTTCATACATGTAGTTAATTTGATTAACCTTTTGTTAAATTATTTCTTGACTCACTGGATGATATGAATTATATTTCTTTTTGCAGGTGAGACTCAACTTTGGAGGAGGTGAACAAGTTCTCTCTTCCCACTTGAGTTCCCAGCTAAATGATTTAGTGTGGCACCTTCTGGAAGTCCATCATGAAAGAGATAATATTGCCTTAGTAATAGACAATAACTATCAAACTAGTACAAAACTGTTAGGTACTCTCTTTGAATTAAAGATTGAACATGGCATCTTCGTTGGTGGGAGTGGCGAGCTTCGTTTTCCCTATTTTGATGGTGTGCACGCTAATTTTCGAGGATGTATGAAAGATTTGCTATTCAACCACCATGACATCCTAGCATCCCTAAGACCTTCTAGATTTAAAAAAGTGCATGAAGTGTCACTGAGCTGCAGTGAAGAATTTTTTGCAGGAGATGAGGAGCCTATTAGCTTCTTTAGCTCCAAGTCCTATGTTTCTTTTCCTCGGTGGAATGTCAAGCCAGAAGGAGTTTTGGCATATACAGTGCAAACCACAGCTCAGAAAGGCTTGCTACTCTACAGTTCTGGTACAGGGGGAGATTTTATTGCAATGGAAATTGAAAATGGTTGTATTAAAGTTCATGTTCGAATGGGTGATAATAGAATTCAGCTTTCTTCTCTCAGGCCAGTCAATGATAGCCGGTGGCATCTTGTCAAACTGAAATTTTTTGCAAAATATATTGAGCTGACAGTACAGAAGGAAACTGTGAAAACACTGCTGCCTGCACACAGTGTACTTCCTGTTCTTGAGGGAGCCCTTTATATAGGTGGAATAAACGATGCCATCCATGCAGAAGTTCTGAAATTGGGCTTAGTTTCAGTTTCTGGAAGATATGCTCAAGGGGGATCATTCAGAGGCTGTTTGAAAGATCTGAATGTTGACTCAGAAAGGAATTCCTTTAAAAATGTTCTAGTGACTAGGGATATTTCAGTTGGATGCAGAACTGAGAGTGACATTAGTACAAATGCTAATGTACCTATTGAAATCCTGCTTGTTGGAACAACTCCCATTTCAGCCATTAGCAAACTCCATGGGCAAAAACGTCATGTTCAGTTTTTGGTCGTTAACAATTTGATTGTTCCAGAAGGTGGACAAGCAGCTCTTGAATCTAAGCACATAAAAGTCAATGTGGAATTCAAAAAATTGGGGATTCGCCAATCGCAAATTCTTTTTAAAATTAAAAGCCACCCTTCCCATGGGCATTTGAGGTTGAATGTTGACCCAGAGCAGGAAGAGTCAACATTTACCATGCTAGATTTGTGGCAAGGCAGAGTTTTGTATGTCCATGATGGTTCTGAAGAAAGCTATGATTATTTCACTTTCTCCATTTCTACAAGCAGTAAAAAAGAGATGCCCCCAAATCTTCAAGGAAACAAAGAATATATGTTTACCATTACAGTAAGACCTATTAATGATGCTCCAGAACTCACACTCCCAAATGGAAACTTGTTTTTTCTCTTAGAATACTCAAAGAAATGCCTGAGTGTAGATTTGATAAATATTACAGACAGTGACACAGATGCTGCAGCTCTCAGTATTTCGGTCCTTGGGAGTTTGAATGCAGATGCAGGATTTCTAGAAAATTCCAAGAGTCCTGGAAAGAGTATTTGTACATTTTCATACACAGACTTACAAAATGACAGTATTTGCTTTGTCCACACTGGAGTTAAGAACTCTAGGATTGTTCTGAGAGCAAGTGATGGGGAGAAAATCAGCAACACAGTTGTGTTGCGTGTTGTGGCTGTACCCCTGGAGTTTAAATTGGTCAACAACACAGGAGTTGACATGCTACAAGGCAGTGCAGCTTTGATCAGACTCAACCATTTGGCCTTTGAAACAAATGCCTTCCAACAAGACTTGGAGGTACGATATGAGATCACAGAGCCACCCCACTATGGAGAAATTCAGAAAAAACAGCCTGGTGGAGAATGGAAAAAAACAAACTCTTTTCCCCAACACTCTCTTGAAAGGGGCCGTGTGAGGTATGTTTCTACCTTCAAAGAAATGCAGCAGGATAATGCCCTTGAATACTTCAAATTTAAAGTCGGGATTGGCAGCAAAGTAAGTGAAGAGTTTCTGTTTCCTATTATGGTGAAATGGTTACGGTATAATTTCCTGAGACACGTGCCATTAGTGATTGATAAATCAGAGAGAGGGTACCTGAGCTCTGAAAACCTACTTGCTGTGATAGCACAAGTGGAAGTGCCAGAAAATGAACTGCATTACAGATTGCAGTCCTTGCCTGAGAAAGGAAAGATACTACTTAACAATGTCTCTCTGCAAATAAATTCAACCTTTAGTCAACAGGACATTTCTGATAAGAAAGTAGAATATCAGCTGATCAGTAGGCCCCTTGAGGATACTCAGGATTCATTTCAGTTCTTGATTTCTACACAATATGTGATATCAAATGTCTATGATTTCAAAGTCAGCATTAAAACAGACCCACGAAGCATTCTTCTGACAAACCGTGGTCTCACTGTTACTGAAGGTGAAGGAAAATTGATAACAACATCAGAATTATTTGCACAAACTCTTGACAATAAAACCTTCCAGTATAAAGTCACCAGGAGCCCTCGCCATGGGAAGTTAATGCTGATTAATTTTTCTGATTCTCCAGAACGTAACAATAACCTGAGCTGTTTCACGAATCAGGATATAATTGGTAAACGCCTTATGTATGTACATGATGATTCTGAGACACAGTATGATGAAATTGATATCACTGCAACAGCTATAAAATATGGAGAACAATTGATCGCAAACATGGAAACAGAAGCCCCCTTATCAACTGAAATAAAATTTAACATTTCCATCCAGCTGAAAAATGATGAGAAACCAGTCCGTGTGGTAGATAAGGTATTTCATGTTGTTAAGAATGGAAGGAAACTATTGACCTTGGCTGATCTTTGCTACCATGATCCTGACACTGACTTTGATGATAGCCAGTTGTTGTATACCAGGCGTGGCATTCCTAATGGCGAGTTGGTTCTTGTCAATGAAACCTCGCATGGATTGTATCAGTTTAAGCAAGAGGACTTGGCACAAAAACGAGTCCTGTTTATCCACCATGGGCCAGACTATGGGCGCTTTGTGCTGTTCATAACTGATGGGAAACACTATACATCATCACTGCTAGAAGTAAGTGCTTCTAGCCCTTACATCCGCCTAGAAAACAATACAGGATTATTGATCCAGAAAGGAAGAGAAGGAACCATCACTGCAGCAAACTTGAGTGCTACCACAAACCAAGACATTAGACGTGATGATGAAATTGTATTTGAGATGTTTACATCTCCGAGGCATGGAAACATCTTTGTAAATAATTTAGCACTGGGCACTTTCACGCAGCATGATCTAAAAATAGGACATGTGACTTATAGGCATGATGACAGTAACAATTTGATCGACACATTTAACTTTACAGTTTATGCTAAAGGTGTCCAATTGGTGGCTGAAATGAATGTCTGTATATTCTTGGAAAGTCATCAACGTTCACCAGTGGTAGTACATAACAGCAGTTTTTTGGTTGAAGAAGGAAAGCCAGTTAAAATCAATAAAGGGAAATTGCTGGTAAGCTAAGCATGTGAATAATGCATACCAAGGTATACTAAATATTTTTTCTTTTGTGCGGTGTGGACATCATCCATCCTAAACTGAACATTAATGATCTCTGCAACAAAGTAGTTGTGGGAATAGATGCTGCAAAGTATGCAAAAACTTGCATACTTACTTCACTATATAAGTAACAATTATTGATAATTTTGACTTGAACATAATTCAGTGATGTAGTAACTATTGCCCCATAATTTCATGCTTTTGGAAAAACATCAGAAGCTGAGATACTGTTCTCAGGGAAGAGCATTACTTTACTTAAAATTAACTAAGGGTCAGGTGGATTATAAAACCATTTGCAATGTGATCCAGTCTGGCTGCCTGTAACTCTAAATCTGGTATGTTTACTAAGGATGACTAGAAAAAACTTAGCTGATTCATCAAACTAATTCAAATTAATTTATTATAACTTTGATTTAGTTAGATCTAAATTTATCCAGTTTTTAATTGATTGGCAGAGCAATGCTACTTACTGGTGGGGTGGGTGGTAGAGGAGAGAACAAGGCTTGCTGGATCACAGTATTTAGGGTGAGAGTTGGGTGAGTGTTTTTTGAGTTACTGTTTTGTTGTTTAGTTTTTCCTACTGAAATTGAAACAATGAAATCGAACCAATGGGAGGGAATTAGTTGCAAAGCCTGCTTGGGGTCATGGGGAAACAAGAGGGGGAAGGATCCTTTATATTAACAACTTCCCCGATCTTCCCTGTGAACCTTTTGTTCTGGCCACTGCTGCTTGCAGGACACCTCACTCAGCCATTCAGCTCAACTTGGTACTGTGGACCATGGGGGCATCGGCCTGCAGAGAGAAACATCCAACCATTACCAGCCATCTGCAGAAGCTTTGGGCTGCCGTCTATGCATAAATTGTTGAAAACTTAACTAAAACAATGGTTTTGAAGGGAAACAAAAATAATTCCTTTGGTTTTGGATGACACATACCAGTCTCCTTTGGCCAGCTTTGAGTTACTTCCATCTCCTTACATTGTTTTGTACTCCCAAACTTAGTAATGCCTTCTGTTTATTTCTCCATAGCCCTGAAGCCCATTTCTGTTGTCACTTGGCCTGAATTTACCATTAAAGGGAATAATGCTTCCTTTCCTGATATTCATATGGGACAGTTTTTAAGTAAATACAGTATGGTTTGATTCCAAACCCGTGAATACTAGAAATGTATTTCTTACAAATAAAAGGCAAACTTGATAAAACATTTTTAAAGTCGGGATAGTTCAGTAGCAGAGTGCATCCATTGCATGCAGATAGTTTCATATTCAATGCCCAGTTGTGTGTGTGTGTGTGTGTGTGTGTGTGTGGAGGGGAGGGGGGGTTGTTGCTGTTAAACAATCCAGTTTCTAAGAATTCTACTTTAAAAAACATAAAATCTCACATATCAACAGAGCCCCTGAAAAAGGACCTGGTCTGAAACTGGAGAGTCAGTGTAAGTTAGGATGGATGGCACTGGCTGAGTCTGACACAATATGTCCACATCATGTGTTCATAGGCTGCACCAGGATGCAAATTGTGTACATGCACAGTTTAGCAACAGCAGTTGTCAAACAGATGGCACCTGTATCTCTACAGTGGCAGAGATGTCTATCCTGGTCACTGCACCAGCCAGTCACTTTGACTAGGAACTTTGGGTAAGTTCAGGGAATTATGCCAAGATAGCTGAATGTTTTGTGCTGTATGTACTAAGGATTCCACATCAAAAGCTATAAATGGAAGAAAAGTTTTTAATTGTGTGTTTTTGATTAATTCTGCATATACTTTTTAAGGTTGTGCATGAAAACAGTTTGCCATCAGAAATAGAGTTCAAAGTACAATCACCTCCAGCCTACGGATACCTTCGGAAGTTTACTTCAGAAGAAGGCTACCTTGGAGCAGAAGAAAATCCAGTTTTGTGTTTTACCCAGCAAGATATCAATGATGGCAATATCCAGTATGTGCAGACTGTTTCCAACCAGCTCCAAGACCAGTTTTCATTGGATGTGACCAATGGCATCCGGGGAGTCAGTGGGATAGAAATTGTTGTAGACATCATCCCAAAGCTGATCCCACTAGAAGTGCAGAACTTCACAGTTGCTGAAGGAGGTCTGAAAGCCCTAGAAGAAGATTTTCTTAAAATACCTAATAAACATTTTGTGGGGGTCAATTGTGAATTCCATTTAATTGGGCCACCAAAATGTGGTCATATTGCAAACTCCCACTTCCCTGGAGTGGCACTAGCTAAATTTACAAAAAAACAGGTAAAACATAACTTTTGTTTTAATTATTTTTGTCATCCCTCTGCCCCCCAAAAAGAAAACCAATATAAATTATCTCTTGGAAATTATGTGTGGTAAGATGATCTGGATTCCACTGAGCAAAATACATTACTTATAAGAAACTTCCCATATTTTAAAAATGCATAGCAAATTTTAACTTGGTAATATAAAATAATAATTAGTTAAGGAATGTATATTGACTTCCATTATTGTATATAATAGTTTATATAAAAGCTGAACATAATATGATGAGATAAAATGACAATTGTTGAAGAACTGGAGCAAAACAAATCTTTCAGATTGATTTTTGGAATGTGATGGATTCTTAATGTGGTTACTTTCCTTTTTCAGGTGGAACAAGGTTTAATCTTCTATGTTCATGATGACAGTAAGCAGCTGCTTGACAATTTCACTATCGTAGCAAACAGCACAGAACTGTGGAAACACAGCTTGCCTCAAATTATATTTGTGACCATTACACCAGTAAATGATGATGCCCCTGTTATAAGGAGAAACAACATCTTTCGGGTAAGTCCTGTTCAACCTCACATTCTAAATTTTTAACAGATTAACTATAACTACCTAGAATTTCGGGTGTCATTATCGATTCCTTAGATTTGTTATGCAGGTGTGAAAACTATTACTCATCTGTGGGGTTACTGGCATGAAGAAAGGCTTCTTACACTTGTATACAATACGCCTGAACTGCCATTGTATTGAACTGTGTTTTCTTTTTCTGTTGCTGAATTCAAAGGAAATTCTAGTTGTAATTTACTTACTATAGTGTGGCCTGTACCAAGTGAAAAGTCTGAACCAGGCAGCTCCAGACTTTCATTATGTCCCTTATTTAAAAAATAACTTGCTCACCTTATGAGCCCGCTGTCATCCTTCACTGCTGGCTAAGATGGCCAGGGCTGATGGGAATTGTATAATCTATGGCTTGGATTGAAAGGGGTGGGGGATTCATCAGTGTGTGGTAAAGGGAGGGTTATGTATGCACTTCTCTGCAGCTTGGCACATAATTTCTCAGCAGCATTGATAGAGTTCTTTTGACCCCCTCCCTGCAAAATGCTCCAGGCTGTGCAAGGGGAGAAATTTTAGTTAAGAATGTGAGTGGGAAACAAGGAAATAAGTCTCCCCTTGCCATGTTCAAATTCAGAATCATTCCTTTCACAGCAAACCTGTAATTAATATTATCTATCTATCTCAAGAGGATGAAGCAACATTTATATAGTAAGTACAATGTGTAGTTTGTTGCTTAGGGCTGCTCCAGACAACAATTTTTCTGGCTCATCCTTAGAAAGAACTACCATTTTATTTTATTACATTTTATTCCATTTAATAGCCACAGTTCTTGGGGTAGTTCAGAATGATTTAAAAACTACAGTATAAAATATAAGTAAAAACTAGAATAAAACCTAGCAGCAGTACAGCTATTTTAAATACGTTACTGAATTTAAAACCATCTGAAACTAAGTTCTGGGAGGAATTCCTGGGAAAATAAGGTGTTCATCTGGTGCCAGAAAGAGTACCAGGCAAGTCCCCCTGGGAAGTTCATTCCATAGTTGGGGGAACCACAAAGAACAGGTCTTTTTTTAGTAGCCACCCACCTGACTTCCTTGGCAAGGGTTTCCTCAGAAGGACTACAGAAGATGAACTCAGGGTCTGGTCAGGTAAATATGGGAGCAGATGATTCTTCAGATTACTTAGTTCCACACTGTTTGGGGCTTGGACTATTAATATGAGTACTTTGAATTGGGTCAGGACATGAACTGGAAAAATACTAGCCTAAAATACTAGCCTGACCTTGGCCAGTCCCTGTTAACAATCTTGCTGCCTGCCCTGTTTTGGACCAGCTGAATTTCCTGAACCCTTTTGAAAGGCAGCCCCATTGCAGTAATCCATCTGAGAGGTTACCAGAGTGTGGATAACTGCAGCTAAGCTATCCTAGCTCAGTTAAGGACATAGTTGGTACATTGTTCTAAGCTGATAAAAAGTGCTGCATGCCACTGAATCTGCCTGTGACAGTACTGATCCAGGAGCACTCCCACACAGTTAATCTGATCCATTTAGGAGGTGTGCAGCCTCTCCAGAACTGATTTCATATCATCCCCCTGGGGAGGCAAACCTTCCACTTGTCTGGATTGAGTCTCAGCATATTGGTCCTCATCCAGTTCAGTACTGTGCCCAGACGCTGATTCAGAACAGCCACTAAATGATCTCGTTGCATGAAAGTGTAACTCAGGAAGTGGGGACTTTGGTGAGTTCACAGCAAATTCCCACTCTGATGTGTCATCTAAATATGATTGCTCTGTTTATATGGCAATGAATTAGGCAAACATTCCTGATCTTTCTTCTTTTTAAACATCAAACCCTCATTATAACATTCCTTAATTTTTTTCATGGCTAGTTTTCTCCTGGTGTTCACAGAGTTTGCCCACTATTCCCTCTACAATATTTGTGACTTTCCCAGATCTGAATCCTTTCCGACCTGCTCAGGTGCTTCTTGATATTCTTAAATTGGTGTAGTGTAATCCAGTGTTGTCCTGATGTTCTTGGATTGCAACCCTCATAGGCCCTGGCTAGTGGTCATGCTAGCTGGGGCTGATGGGAGTTCATATGTAACAACATCTAGAGTGGCTTGGATACCCTACTGCTATACTGATTGGCTGCTTAAGTTACATTCTTCTTTTGCACAATGTCTCCTTTGAAACTTTTCCTCACTTTTTCCTTTTGGAAGCTGCAGTCTTTATATATCCTTTTCCCAGGAACAGGGCTTATTGAACTCTGCATACTTCTAAGTCAATAGCCTAAAATGTGTAACCTTCAATAATGATTCCAAAGCCCATTTTAGTAAAAATGCAATCACAGGCAGCACTGTATGTTATCATGATGCTAACGATACTGTTCTAGGACAAATTAGTGCTGGTGCAGCATCATTTTTGTTTTTGGATTCCTCTCTTGTAAGCTGTCCAGAGACCTTTTATAGTAATGGACGGCATAGAAAATAAATAAATAAAAATTAGCAGTTGCTAGGCAAAGGGAATCAGCAATTTCCACCAGATGTTGGTGGTGGTAATTTCCTGCAATTGGTGCTCTTCTGCTTTGCCTAGCAAGCACTAACGTTGTGGTGCTGACCTTGGTTTATCCTGGAACTATGGAATACTGCTCTGTGTCACAGCAGATGATTAGTGAATTAGCCTCTTGGGATACCGTGTGTGGCGGGGGGATGTGTTTTAGATCATTAAGGCTGTGAATAATTTTTTCAGTAGAGCTAGGGTTCTATATCTTGCCTACTTTAAGTTAACACAAGTGACTGCTTTTTGCTAGATGGGGTCATTTCAAGTATAGATAATGCTAATTCGGCTATTATACAGTAGTTTAACCACAAGGGGGCCGTGTTTCCATGTATGTGGAAACTTCTCCAGTCATCAGAAATGGCTCTGATTATTGTAGTATTTAATTTAAATGTCCGTTAAGAAACCATGAGCACAGCAGACTGCAGTCCTAAAATGTATGCAAATAGAATCAAACTCCATTTAAAGCAGCAGTTAAAATTTGCTTGGAAGTTCTGTTTCTAATTCTAGTTAGCTGAGCTATGGATAAGCTTGATTATCCTTAAATGCTGACATCCATTTGTATGGTGGCAGAATGTATGGTGTTTTTGCAGACTCCCACAAGCAAAATCATAAATAAATCTTCGTATCGTATTTTCAGAGGATGAAAATAAAAGAGAGCATATATTATGTGAGCATTTTGTTTTTGCTCTGTTCTTAAAATAGCTGATCCATATCCTATATAATAGAGGTGGATGTTGGACATAGTATATTGAGAAGCTATTTCTAATACATCAAAATGCAAATAATTTCTTTTTTCTTGGTTATGCTGTCTAAGGCTCCTGGAGGCAAAGCATTTTTATTTTGCAAGGATCTGGCACATAATGATATAATGATTTTATGCATGCACTAGTAAATTATTGAATGCTTTTTTCATAATACACAATGTAATTGGGTTGTTAGCTACCTCTGAAGTCCTGGAGGCTGTTGTTTTAATTAGTTAGAAGCTCTTCTACAGATATGGAACCCTTGGCTGGCATTATTCAAGTCCAGCCGATAGCTGCATCATTAATCTATCAAAACAAATTCACATCAGTAATATTTATCTCATATTGACACAGTTCAAGATGCAACTTTGCCAGATACCATCCATCCTGTTTGAAAGAGACTGGAGTTTCATACCTACACAGCCCAACCAAAATAAATGGGGATCATGCTTTGGGAGATTCTTTCAGAGATTATTATAATTTTCAGCATGTGTTAAGTTGGATTGCTTAGAAGTTGGTCATGACTTTGACCCCCCCTGAACCTGGGACTATGATGAATCATGGGGAAACATCAATTTCAATGAGACTAAGGATGTCTGACCTCTTCAGGACCCAAGTGTGCATGTGGGACAATACTGGTCTTAGATGGACCAATGACCTGACTTAATAGGACAGCCTCCTTCACTCCTGTGTCCAATCATTAGCCTGTTAATTTTTAGAATGAGATATCATGTTAATCTATAGAATGAGAATGCTAATTATTGTAATGCTTCTGTTTTCAATGCAAGTATTTACACCACCATGACAATAAAGGGGAGCTATGTACACAGGTTTTTAAAATCATCACAGGGCATAGAAATGTTTAGTTGAGGGAAGCAACTACTATCAAGAAACTGGTCTTCCATCATAAGCCAGTACTGCACAATATAAATAACTT